CTCCCTGTTCCAAAATAAAACAAAAAAGTCCAATGCTTACCAACTTCTTGGCTGATGTTATGTTTTTTTCCTTTGTTTAAAATGGCACCATCTCTACCTATTAAATATTCATTCATTTATTTGCGGGTTGGAGCTATTTTAAGGTCTGGGGATGACGGGTAAGATACAAGCTGTTAATTTCAATGGAATTAGTTGCACAAAGGAATGATTATAATTCAGTGTGATAAGTGTAGTGACAGAGAAAGTTCTGTTACTGGAGGAACATCAGGGGAGGGTACCTTAACCTTCCCATCGGGGCCTGGTACACAGGGAAGATTCTTGGAAGAGGCCCTGTCTGTCCTAAGCGCAAGGTAAACAGTTTACCTGGCAGGGATAGACTAGAAGAGAGAGCAAGGGGAAATAGTTCCTGCGGAGAGAACAGACTAAGCAAAGGCGCTCAGCTACAGAGTAGGGACTGTAGTAAGGAAGTGCAAGCAATTGGGTGTCCCTGGATGTAAAGTTTGAAGCTGAACACATACTGTGGTAAACCTGCTATACTATATTAGGGAGTTTAGCAGTTTTAAATTACCTTTTTAGCAGAAGAGTTCTTTCTTTGTGGAAAAACTTATGCAGAAGCTCTATATAACAGATAAATTCAGAATTCTGCCCTGGATGGGCAGAGGGATACCTTCCCCCGTCACATGCGTTCTTTGTGTCCTTTTAAAGGTACCGGAGACTTGAACATCATTTAAGCAGTCTTTAGGAAAGGAAATAACTGAGAAGAGCTTTCTTTTGCTAGGTAGCATAATCTTGGTTTTCTTTCCTTGACTATTTTAGTTAATCTGTATGTGTTCAGATTGAAATTGCAATTAATTTCTATGTAATTGTAAATTAAAGGGAAGGCGATTTTGTAGAAAATGATATGCCTATGCATATATATAACATACATACATATACATACATGCACACGTATATACATATGTGCATGTGTGTATAATGTTTTCTAAGTAGCTGGATTTATTTGTGCATGTTGCTCTTCCATTGTCATGGGTGGCTTAGCACTAACGAGGACTAAAAGGCAGAGGTCCAGTTTAACATCGTGATTCGCATGTCTTAGATGCCATTTACTCCTTACTGGTTCCACTTTCCTCGTCGGAAATGGCTTAAATTAAAGTGCTTGATTTTTTTTTTTTTCTCCCTGGGGAAAAAGAGGACTTCAAAGAACAGTACAAGGCTAAAAAGACTTAAAAATTTTTTCTTTTTTATGTTGTAGAACCTGGAAGATATACAAATTTTAAAGAGTAATTCAGTATAAACAATAAATGTGAACTAGTAAACTAAATTAGAAGAGTCAGAATGAACAAAATTGCTTTTCTAAAAATGACTGTCTAAAACTGATTTTCTTTGGCTGTGTATTAAGATTTGTGAGCTCCAGCTTGGTTTGTTTGATGATCCTTGAAATATGAGCCCTCTAATTTTCAAGGAGATCAATATCTTGTCAAAATATTTTAGGTAAGAAGCAATCGATAGTGCTGTAAAAGTAAAATGTTCATAAGAGACGCAGGTTTAGAATCAAAGTCAGCACTGTCTCGAGTCAGAGGTGAACTGCCCTAACCTGTAAGAGCGATACTTTAAAGGAAGCCTTTGATTATATTTTAAGAAACGAGGAGTCTTCATTAAAACTTTGAGAAAATAATTGTGAGTGCATTTTAGGTCCAAATAAGAAGATATAACTTATTTATCCTCTCCTTAGAAATGGCAGAGACAAAATATATGATAATAGAAGCCTTTTCTTACTTTTTCCCGAATGTAGCCTTTATAAATTTCCACAGAAAAGATCATATAATATCAAAAATAACTACTATCGTTTATTTATGGCATAGGCCTTCATTATTTCAGATAATAGGCATTTTTAGAACTATGCAGGAAATAGTTATATTTATTTAGGTTCATCTATTTCTTCAAAAATACCAACTTTTTTCCCCAAATTAACCCCGTTCTTTTCTACTTTTAAGACAGGTAGATGATACATTTCTGCCTTTCTTACTACAAGGGAGTTATTTGACCTCTCAGTGCCATTCTTTTAATTATTTAAGTAGGGATAATATAATTTTCATCCTGAAAGGGATGGGTGACTTAGATTACTGTTTGTAAAGTTTTAAGTTACAGAGTGCCTTTGGAGGAGTCCTTGTCTTTACTGATGCTATTGTTTGGTCTCCCCTTGTTTTTTAGAGTTTGACCTTTCTTAATTCTGCCTTTTCGTTTGTCAGTGTGCAAGCAGTAATCATAGTTATGCTAATGAGGAAACGGGGAATTTTTGGTCCCACAACAAGTGAAAGTTTTCAGTCTGTTATGAAGACGTTAGGACTTTACTCTGCAGGTTCTCAGTAACAAGCTTCCCTTGCTGCCATCCCCTTGACCCCAGTCATAGGAGTCGGATTACTGAGGCAAAGCCGCAGGCATACACACATCCATTTTTCTGGATCAGTTGATGTGATGGGTGCTCACTGCAGTCATCTGTAGAAATAAATTATGACTCATCTGTAAAAAGGGGATAATAATAATGGCTCCCCCACAGTGTCACACACATAAATTCCTTAGCCTTGCACATAGTAAGAACTTAATGCTAGTCATTATTTTTGCAATTTGTTAAAAGTTCAGTATTGGAGCCATAAGAAATTAGAAACTATGATTATTTACTGACATATTTTGCCAAATTAGTTTAGATGTCACCAATACTGTTCTAGTTTCGGTAAAGGTTGCTAGTGAAATGTCATTGTGAAAGGAACTCAGCGCCATCTCATTACTTTACAATAACTTGTAAGCTGTAAAATAGTTGTTGGTATTAGAGATCTCTCGTACCATTCATAGCTCTCGTACCACATATACAAACAACACTTGGTGTGCTTCTGAAGTTATGCCAGAAAAAAACATTTTTTAGGATTTCAAAAACTAAACTCACTTTAGGGAGAAAATATGCTATTTTATGTAAGTATATAAGTTTGCACTGAAAATGTGTTTTATTAACTATCTCGAAGTGCTTAATTCTAAAATTGAAGAAAGGGGGTGATTTTACTACTTCTATCTAACAAAATCTTCTTTTAAGAGAATTTTGGAGCTGAGTCTTTCTGGTCGACTTTTATTTCCATTTACCTTGTTGAGCATTGTGCAGAATTGGAGCTCGTGAACCAGTTTCTGATGTAAAAGGATCTTTTATTTGTGTGGGCGTTTTATTTAGTTTTCCGAGCTTCCAAAGCAGGTGCACACCTGGATGCGATTTGTCCATATTTCCAGTAAGCTCATTTGCACGCTCACCTTTCCTGATCTCTCAGTTTTCTTTTTAAAGAAAAGCTTCCTGAAAAGTGGTTGGTAATACCTTACCATTGTATATACTTTATTTCTACATTTTTTCTACTTTGCTCCGCTGATTACAAAGTCCTGTCTTATTAACTGAAAACATCATTCAGCCAGAAGGTAGTTATGGTGAGCTGACTATTAAGTTTCATCTCTTTTCCTTTTGGTTGCCTAGATGCCTGTGGAGGGAGGACAGGAGCAGCAGACAGATTCCACCAAAGGGCGATGCCTGAGGAGAACTGTCAGTGTCCCTTCCGAGGGTCAGTTTCCTGAGTACCCACCAGAGGGCGCCGCTAAACTGGGTAAGCTAATAAAAGGAAAGCCGTTCCTTGCTTTTATCTGGTAATTTATGGACTTGTTATTTAGTGCTACAATAAAACAAAACATCCTGCATCTCCAGTTAAGGAAGCTCCTTGAAATATATCTTAACCAAGAGTTAAAGGTCATTAGAAAGTTCCGTTTTTTTATAACCAAGTGGCAGCAAAGTTATTTTACAGAGATAAAATTTATCTGAGCGTTGTTAAGTTTGCTGTACAGTCCTAGCAAGCTGGATGATGTGTTGTTTCTGAGTTTACTGCTCGGCTTTAAATTTCGAAAGACCATTAGATGATCTTGTTGAAATACTGAGAGTCACTAGGAAGCCAGAATTATGTAGAAACTTAGTACTGAGTGTTTTGTGACCTGTTCACACAGCTACTGATGCTGTCTTGTGTAATACAATGTCAGATCAGGCTAGTTTAGGTGAGCTAGTTTTATATGTCCCACCATAGTTGGAGTGGGTGACAGAAGAGGGAAACCAGAAAAACCCACGAGTTGTTACACACGAAGGAAATGAATGTCGATATCAAAGCATCTCTTCCTGTCTCCTCCCAGATGTATTTCGTTTCATGTCTTGCTTGCCTGCCAGCGGATGTTTAGATAATTAGATCAGGTAATTTTGAGGGAATGTAATTAAGATTAAATAAAATAATGAAAGGATTTTAAAAGTAAAAAGTGCTTTGTATTGTATTATTATTTACTTAGCAAGCCTACACAGTGAGCCATAGACCTTTGGTAGGCAAATAGAAAAGAACCATTTATTGTCTCTACGTCGGTTAATATGGTAATTCTGTGATTTTGGTTGTATCTTTGAAAATTAGGGTTTGGGTTTTTTTGTTGTTGTTTATTTTTGCCTTTCTCTTCATTTCTCTTCATATTCTAAACGGAACTCAGAATTTTTGGTCAGAATTTGAATCCTTTATTTTTCTTTTTATCCTGTAACAGCTGTTGCTTTTCCAGAAATTAGTCAGGTTAGCAAACACTTTTCTCCAAGGAGTCATACTTGGAGAAATAAAATCTTCTTCTCATCTTATTTCCATTGTACTTCTTTAGCATGTGTTGAAACCAGTTTAGGTGTTGCCCTGAATTATACTGCAAACCTGTCTGGGTGTAACCTTTGTATTGCCAGTTTATATTTCACATACAAGTTTTATGTAAATTGGACTGGCTCAGAGTCACCTTTCAACTCCTTTGCTGTCATTATTTGGAATGTTATGCTTATGACTCTCTGTCACTACTCTAGGAACCTCTGACGAGCTTTGACCCACAAACTTCAGTTGATTTTGAGGAAGTGTAATGAGGAATTATTGCCATTTTATAAAAGAGAGAACTATATAGTAAATTGCTACATATCTCCAGCACTCCAAGTACTGGTCTCAAAGACACTAAGATGAGGTGGCCAAGGTATCTGGCCCAGAGCCAGTCCTCACCTACCATCCTTGACAGCAAGCCTGATAGCCATCTTGATTCATGGCAATCTGTGATCAGTTTTGGAGCGGATGTCCTAAGTTAGCATTGAAAGCTATTACTCGTAAATATTAGAGGAGAAAGACTACTTTTAGAGCCATTCTTTCTTATATGCCGGTCTATTGTTGAATTAGATAATTATTCTGTTGTTCTATTTTTATCTTCCAGTGATTTGTCTTTAGGCAAAATTTTCTGTCAAATATTTTTATTGAGTAATTGCTGTATATGTAACATTCTATGCCAGTCCCTAAGAACGAAAAGAGATGTAAGATAAAATTTCTGCCTTTGGAAGATTCTCATCTATATAGGAAGACAGATTATTGATGACTAGTCTCAGTACATGTTATTATATATTGTGATACATTATATTGTGTGGCTTTTATTGATTTTTTAAAAATTATTCATTTATGCAGTGAATAGTTATTGAATAACAACTATGGGCCAGATGCTGTTCTAGGCACTTGAGATATAACAGTGAAAAAAGTAGACAAAACTCTCTCCCCTTGTGGAGCCTGCATTCTATCAAGGAGTGACAGAAAATAAGCAAGAGTAGTAAGTAAAATGTAAAAGTAGTAAGTAAAATGGACTATGCTAGATGGTGATAAGAACAAAGATAAAAATAAAGTCGGAAATGGGAATAGGAAATGTCAAGGAAGTATACTTTTAGCTAAGGTGACCAAAGAATGCCTCACTGCCAAGTGACATGTGAGCAAAGGTTTGATAAAAATATGGGAGTAAGGTGTGCAGATCCCTGGGGGTGAGGCCTTTCCCCCGGGGGACAGCTCGTGCACAGCAGGAA